TGAAGTACTTACTGATGAAGATTGAAGAATACAGTCTGCAGTATGGATTACATCTCAATATAAAGAAAACAAAAATCCTCACAACTGGACTTACAAGCAGTATTATGATAAATGGAGAAAAGATTGACATTGTCAAAGACTTCACATTGTTTGGTTCTACAATTGATGCCAATGGAAGCAGCAGTCAAGACATCAGACGACAGTATAGCACTGGGCAAACTGGCTGCAAAGGACCTCTTTCAAGTGCTGAAGAGCAAAGATGTCTCCTTGAGGACTAAGGGGTGCCTGACACAAGCTATGGTATTTTCAGTTGCCTCATATGCATGTGAGAGCTGAACAATGAATAAGGAGAACCGAAGAAGAGTTGATACTTTTGAGATGTGGTGCTGGTGAAGAATGCTGAAAGTATCATGGACTGCTAAAAGAACTAACATGTCTGTCCTGGAGGAAGTGCAGCCAGAATTCTCCTTGGAGGGGAGAATAGCCAAGACTTCATCTCCCATACTTTGGTCATGTTGTCAGAAGGGGACATTCCCTGGAGAAGGATGTCATGCTTGGTAAGGTGGATGGTCAACCAAAGAGGGGGAGGCCATCAATGAGACGGACTGACACGGTGGCATTGGCAATGGTCTCAAGTATAGCAAGAATCATAGAGCTGGCTCAGGATCAGGCGGTGTTTTTTCTGCTGTGCATAGGATCGCTATGAGTTGGAAATGACTTGATGGCACCCAACAACAACAACAACAACAACAACATGGTAACTAATCAGCTTAAATTAAAAAACCCACTGTATTTCAGAGCTAAGAAAACAGGTACTAAAAGAAAAGATACAAAAATAGATAAATAACATCTCCTATTCTATATTCTAGAATTTAGAACCTGAAGGGAAACTTTTTGAACAGTGTGACTTTAATGAGTGAGCACCATCTTGTGGTAAAATCTTTTAGTTACAGTTGTTGAAAATTCCTATTTTATTCTATAGACTAAATCCTTGAAGAATTTTTATTAATGAAATTAAGTATGTCCATTTCCTTATTCTGCTTCTTTGACTTAAAGTACCAACTAATAAAATAACACGCTGGGGGCATAAGAGGGTTCTATATGTTCATAATCACAACATCAGAAATATTTATTAGACAGTATTATTTTATATTATCAAGCATTTAATCTAGATCTGTAGATTGCAATGGAATAATAAGAAAATCAGAATACTCACGAGGCCACACCCTCTAGCTCCTCAGCAGTCTGTAGCTTGAACTGAATGACAATGGTATTCTTGGAAATTATTCTAGCTAGACCATCCTCAGATGACCCTGACCTGCTCCCACTTCAATCAAGTTTTTACTTCATTCCAGACTCTTGGCTTTCACACTTTTACCTTTGTATCTGGTTTCTTTGGCACAGACTTTTTTTCCCCCCAATAATATTTTACTAAGTTTCTGGTGAAAGTTTACATAGCAAGTTAGGTTCCCATTTGACAGTCTCTGCCCAAATTGTTCAATGACATTAGTTACATTTTTCACAGTGTAGCAACCATCTCTTTAATTGTGTTCTGGTTGTTCTGTTTCCAGTACACTAGTTTCCCTGACACCTTCTCATCTTTGCTTTAGAGTGAGTGTTGGTTTTTAGTCTCATACAGATCATTTTTAACGACAGCATCAATATTATGGGTAATATTATTTATTTTGTGTGCTGCTCTGCTATTTAGCTCAAAGGTGATCTCAGGGGATAGATTCTGTTCAAAGTTTAAAGAGTGTCTCAGAAAATTCTCTGTCTCTACTGGTCCAGTTAGTCTGTTGGCACTGACTTGAACTTCTTTGAGGATATTGGCTTAGACTTGAAAGATTGGCTCTCCACTTTGCGTAGCTTCCACCATGATACCCTATGCTAGTTGACTGCTTAAGTCCAAGGCCTACC